ATCATCCAAATCAGAAAACAGGGAAAAGATACAGCAGCAATTACCAAGCTACCAGTTGGCCCTGTCACTGAAAAGAAGCTTCCGCTGCCACCTTGAGTTGGTCGATGGCTGGCACGGTGGGTTGACGGCTTACACATACGCTCGAAAGCATAGACCAGAATTTCATCATTTTTGGCGACTGAAGGGGAGGCTATCACTTTTGATATTATTAAGTAATGTTAGTTTTTTAGTAATTTAGAAGAGAATTATCCACATATTTGGCAGGCTAACTAATTGTTTCCCAAGAGCAGCCATTTGTCAGAAGCCCGATATTCCAAGTAGGGGAAGTGCAATATTTACTCGGAGTACATACGATGTTTGTTCACAACACGTAAAGAAGGGGGCCGTTATCACTGAACGTCTCGTGTGCACATGAGCCTGGCAGCAGACTTTCGCTGCTTCCAAATCAGCAAATATTTAGAGAATAAGTCTAGACAAACTTATCATCGAGCCGTTCCGCGCCGCCCTTAGCCATGACCCGATCGACGGCCATGGTGAAGGTATCGGTCAGACGGTCATATTGATACCAGGGCGATTTCGTTACGCTACAGAATGTTTTCAAAAATATTGTTCAAATAACGTCCTACTATTAGTTACCATTTCGTGGAAAACCTGATGGGTGAGCCTGGAAAAGCGAATGAGAATCGAAAAAAGGATTCTAGGTCTACAAGTCGGGGGGCTGGGGGTTCGTAGGGGTTACCTACGTCTATCCTATTCCCTTTTTTACCTTAAAAAACAATAACAAGCAATTCTTTAATGCTGGTGGTCTAACAAATTCAATGAACAGCTTATCGTTAAAATATCGTTGAACAGCTTCCTGCCACTTTACGAGTTGGGCTCATTACTCACGAATTTTCATTCGTTCATTAGATTGTTCCAAAATGGGAGCGATTATGGGAGATTATCGAACTGGTAGAAGTCCTTCTTTTAAGTGAGTATGTAGGATCTTTCTATCTCTGGTGAACTATTTATTCTGCTCGCTTTTATATGAATGAGTAGAAGGGTGCCCCTCATTTTGACATTGGGATTAAGGCTTTTATTGGGATTTGTTTTTTTTTCAATGGTAACTACTCGTTTTCCATTTTTCCTATCATGACAAATTACTGTAATGAATCAGCTGACTAACTAGGCTGGCATGTTGATCGCTTTCTTCACTTTTCTATTCTGATTGTGTTCGTGCTCTCCTAATGCGTTAGGGCAGCTTTTGGTAACAATCCTTCAGCGCTTGAGATTCATGGTTTTCTCATTCTAACGAGCTGTTCGATTTAAGGATTTGTTCTTCTTCGAATATTTATGACTTCTTACAACAACATCAGAAAAAGTCACCGTCCATCGACTTCCTATCTTTGTGAGGCCATAATCATACCCTGACTGTTGATACTCTACAGGGTCCTCATAAGCGCTTGACTACAGCCGTCTTACGATCTCTACACATCACGAAAGCCCTTCGCACAGTAACGCTGCCGTAAAAACCATCGTCCACTTACGAACATCCGATTTTGCACTAAACACCAAGCAAAGTAATTGAACTCCCTCTCTTGGGCGCGTGTTTGGATAACGGTCGTTTCGCCCCGCCTTCGGCACGAATCGACTAATCGCAGCTGCAGCCTGGCCAATCCCCGTGCTGGGCCACACCCCTCACCTTGTGGCTGCCACACCCCTTGACGGCTCTCTGCGCGCTTTCCTCACCGGCTAGTGTTTGCACAATGCCTGTCGGTCGCACTACGCTGCTCAAACGTCAACTGCTCGTCGTGACGACTCCATCTGAAGCACAGTGCCTTCATGGGTCTCTGTAACGTGTCTGTCGGCTCTGCCTTCCGTGCTCTCTCACGAGCTGCTCGTCTCGTCGCCGCTAGCGGCGTACTGTTTGCCTTCACCTGTGCAGTGCCGGGGTGCGCCTAGAGTCCCGTCTCATTCCATCAACTTCTCGAGCAACTAACTTTTTTTTTTACTCAACAGTCCTTTTCGTTAAAACCCACGTAGTGCATAAATGTCCCTTTCCAGTTTCTAGTGCATAATGACCGTCCGTGTGATTATGGTGGTGTTTCTGATAAGCTTATCAGCAGCTACGGAACACTTTCTTCCGCTCCTCAAAAGCTTATGTCCACATGTTAATATTGGGCAAATGGTGTCATAGTGTCAATTTTGGCTACTCAGTTGTTTGTTTTTCTGTGGTTGTCGTTTTGTTTACATATTTACACATTCTCAGTTGCAAACTCCCAGTTAAATATTTGAGATCTAAACAACACGTGTCAATATTGAAATAAGGTTGGCAGCATTGATCTTTGTGAAGCACCGCTAGGCTAAGTCCGAAAATGACCTCTGGGAACAAATGATTAGAGGGAGCTTAGCGGATGATCAACTCGGATCCTTCTGATTTCCATGGGAATTGTGGGACGGTTACGTGCCTGAAGGCTCTTTAGGCTGCTCCCACCCGGTAATTTATCTACTCTGCCTATGTCATCTTTGTATCGGTACTTGTACCTGCTGATACCATCCTCAACTGCTACTCATCAAAAGACCTCTGATAGCAGTCGTCGTCGCTATTTCGGTGCTAGGGACGCCACAATTCCAAAACCTATTTGCATGTTTACTGGGAGTAGAGGATTCGTACCTGTAGCACCCACAGGTACCACGCAGTTCCAGACCTTATCAGTTATCTTCAGTCATCTTCTTCAGCCATCTTTTCCAGCCCTTTTCACTGGAATCTGTTCATTTCCCATACTCATCCCAAATCACCGGTGGTGCTTTCTTCACAGAACTCCTGAAATCATTACCGGCAGTGCTATCAGGCGATTTACACCTCGTTGAGACAGCGAGGCTCTACCCAACCAATATACTGCCCCAGGGCTCTCTTGCATGCGCTAAATTGGTGTTCTCATCGAGCGCTTGAAACACGATATACGAGGTCAGTGCTAGCTACCCTCATGCCACGATGCTCTAATCATGGAGAGGGATATTCTTTCAGTAAGGAACTCGGGAAGAAGTACCCAATCATGGACTAACTTGAATATTTTGCTTCTTTTCCTGATTATTAGATCCTATTTGTCATGAAATGCTCGCTATTTCGTCAAACGCTTTTCCAGGCAACGACCTTTTCATATTTAGTAGCCATTTTCAGATTCAAAGGTTCGGCATGCTTCCGAGCAGTCTGGCCGTCTCATCGACCACGGCGGCATTGGATGCCTCCAGCCTCTATCAACCCTCCACTGTCGGCCAAACCGCTATACACGTTCGTTAATTCCTCCATTCTATTCAAAAGCCTCTTGCCCTCCAGTGTTGATAGGGATTGATTGAAAACTGGTCTCCCCAGTCTGACGTAGTGTTGTTTTCAGCAGCGACGTCTTGCGTGAGTGGGGTGTGTGTGTGACTCATAACCAGCACAGATAGCTTATCAGACTTGGCCTGGCCTCATTATTCTATTGCAGGCCATCAGGGGTATCTGAAAAAACCTTGAAGAGGAAACTCACACACCTACACATTTACCCTGCTGTTCTATCGCTTTCCTACGATCAATTCCAGTTTTTTTGCCTACATTTGCGTCGTTTTTTTCTTTGCTGACGTTCTTGGAACACCTGCACAGCGTAGCACTTACAAAAAATTATTTGTACTGTAGAATGGGCCAGTTTGCTCAGGCACACGAGATGATGTGGATTTTGGATGGCACCCATAAAACGACCTCAATTTCCGGGAATAGGCTAAGATTGCCCTATAGACCGTTCCAATACTCTGCTTACTTTATTTTACCTCCAAAGACCCTCGAATTTTAGGCTTCTGATACGTCGTGATTATCTGTAATTTGAAGGAAACGAAAGTATAACCTTAGGACACCAGAGCAGTAGCTACCGTATTCCAGTTAAATGTTCTCTACTGAGCAATGAGATGTTAAGACTGTTATTGTTTTCTAACTCCAAATGTAAGCCCCGAAGTTTATGAGGACCACAGTTTTGCACCGGAGCTATTTTCAAAAATTACGTCTCAGGTTTGGGCTATTGCTCCCATTTTCGTTGTCTCAGATTCCCCTAACCCACTACCTTATTCCGATAAGATAGCGTTTTATCGCTAAGACCCACCAGAGCGGTTTCGCCTTTTGTTCTTTCTGAAGTCTTTCTTATCCACAACTGCCTTCTGAAGCGTGTTTGAAGAAAACAAGTTCTCGTCTGTGCCACTAGTTCCGCTCAATTACTCATCACAGTCAAACCCTGATTGAACTCCGCTCGCTCCCATCAACAATAACCTCGTAGTCAGTGCCCCTCTTTGGACGACGACGACGACGACGACCTTGATGACGCCGTGGGGTTTTTTTCTCGCAAGCTGTCAGCCCCCTTCTAGTCGACGTTGCGTTATGCTTTCACATTGATTGCACCGGCGCATCGAATTTCTCGTCAGCTGGTCCAGCACGGAAAATTCCGGAAAAGCCGACGTCGACGCGACGCGAAACCGGGTCGCTCAGCGATTCCGTCGCCACTTAGCCGATCTGCCGCCGCGGTTACTGTACAACACAGCAGAGAGTACGGTATGCCAGAGGGTGCCAGACGAACGCACGGGGTTAGAGCGTCCTCGTCGTTGTGCGCCTCCACGGTGACCGATATACCGTATACTTATCCAACTGACATTTACGAAAACAACCTCGCCCAGTGCCGGATGTGTGCAGGGTCTCATGAAAAGACATTTCATGGATGGAATTGATTGGTTTTATTGATTTGTGTTAGAAAAGCAGAAACAGAGCGCAGTCGCTTCAGTCTGGCACCCATGCTCCGCATCAAAAAGGCTCAATAATTATAAAACTTGGTACAAAGTGGGTCTATAAGGACAGTTGACTCATCAGAATAGTCTCTTATAGCCAGACTTTCTTCAAAGTTCTGAGAGGTGAAGGGAAAGGGAGTGAGCTTCAGAACACCCTGTGAAGTTTCGAGCCGTTTACCTTCCAATTATTAGTTTATCTCATTTCTTTTCAGGGTATGACCTCACAAGATTACGCGGCCTCAGTACAACCAACGTATTCAACGAATACCAATGCCTACAATGCCTATCAATGGCCCACAGCTATCAATGGAATAAATACGTTGAATACGTTAGGAACGTACAATCCCTACAACAGCTATACCACAACCACGACACAAATGAACAATGCATACAGCGGTTTTCGAGTTGGCGGTGGTATTTCACCTATCGGTGAGTCTCCTGCTTTTTTGGCTCTACAATTCTCTCTTTCCTATTCAGTCTTGGAAACAATACCTTCTAAAAAGGGATTCGTCTGAAAATCCGACCGTTTAGGTGGTAGCCGAAGTGCATCGGGTGGTAGCACGGGAACGACCTTATCCGGTACTTCCGCCTCAACTGCCTCACCATCCCGTGGTTCTTCATGTGGAGGAGGCGATCAACAACTTACCAGTTCTGAATTAGTATGTCTTGACTAACTACACTTCGTGTCCTGCACTACCGTTAATCTACATGATTTTCAGGCAAGAATTCGACGTACTGGCAACTATGGTTGTGCAAAACCGCCGTATTCATACATATCGTTGATAACGATGGCTATTCAGCACTCGGCTAACCATAAAATGACCTTGTCAGAAATCTACAATTGGATCATGGACCTCTTTCCCTATTATAGGCAGAACCAGCAAAGGTCAGGAAGAGGGTTAGCGAATTCCATACTTATTGATCGATCAACCCCTCAGTAAAAAAATCCCGATCCCATGGGAATTTGCTTCCTACCAAAGAAACCCCGATTGTTGAGCTTGACCGTTTTTATGATGTCCTTTTCTCTTAGACGTTAGCAGTAATTTGACTTGAAGACGAAAAATTTTTGGAAACCCTCCCGAAAAATCAGTAAAGTGGGGCTATACTCTGAAGCGCAGCGTGGCGAAGCATATAATTAAGGCGTAGGGGAGTATCCTTCATAAGAACCTTTTTAAAAATTTGTTCCTCTTACTGTGTAAAGCAGCTCTTGAAAACCTCCTATTTTCAGGTGGCAGAACTCCATTCGACATTCTCTATCGTTTAATGACTGCTTTGTAAAAATTGCTAGGTATATATCTTTTTTTTTCTTCCGAAACTGACCACCTCCTCTTCAACATTCAGTCGACCCCATTTTCAGGACCCCTGATAAGCCAGGAAAAGGTTCATTTTGGACGTTGCACGAGCTGTGTGGTAATATGTTCGAGAACGGTTGCTACCTACGGCGGCAGAAGCGTTTCAAGGTCAAGGAGAGAGATCCACCAAGGAAGAAGGTACGTTCCCCGGCTCCTATTTTGGACTTCCACGATTTTGAGCCGGTTCACTTTAATAAGTCACAATTTATTTCAGCGTAACAACAACCAAAATCACAACCACCAAACTCAGGCCAATAATAATACCGCTATCAAGGAAGAACTAGATGATACCTATAAGATCGAAGAATCGAAGTTGGATCTGGGTCAAACGATCCCCAACGGTTCACAGGTAAGCACCAAGAGAGCTGAGCGGAGTTCGTCATTACCTACAAGCTCTATCGATCGCTTTAGGATATCAAAGATTCCCTTCAACAATCCCAACAACAACAGCAACAACAACAACAACAACAACAAATGCAACAGATTTCTATGTCGACTCCATCCTCGTTGAGCCAACCAACGTCTGTGATTTCCACCATTGGCACTACGCCACTCGGAGCTCAAACGGCTACGGTAAGTCATCGTTAGTCTCTCTTCCGGTTCCTATTGTCCTGATTGCCTCAGGATGTGCCTTATGGTTGCGTCACTTCCTAAACATTAGACACTGGTGGTGGTTGAATGTGTGAATGACGTGCTGGGCGTTACGTTCACACCTTGAGTTTGCATAACTTCTCAGTTACGTAATGAGAAGGGTCAGAGACATAATTGCTGAAGGAAGAGTTCTTGAACGGGGATATCGTGAAAATAGTTACTCTATTTCTCCATAATGCTCTCCTGCTTAGAAAAATACTACGATGGCAAACGGAGCTCGATAAGAATGAAGGTCTTCTCATTTTCCCCACGAGCTCCACATTTGCTCGGAGAAAAAAGGCAGCTTTTTTTTCTCCCTTGACATATTCACGGCACAACGTTTACCAGTCACAAGAGGCTCTTGAACTCGAGTTCTGGATTCTGGGTTGTGCTGGAAATCACTCAGAGCATCCTGTGGAATCAAATGGGCAACCGTAAGGGAACATGAGACCAGGTTATGCCGTAGCATTGAAAGACGCAGGGATTTTCGATCAATTTTGGGTTAGATTTCATCAAGTGCTCCGTAATTTGTCAGGCTCATTCGAAACACCATAGAGCTGGGCTGCAAACTGGGGTAGGCAGGAAAAATCCTCCATCTTTTCCAAGTGAACGCGATTGCTTCAAGAAGGATTTGGGTTTCTTGCCAAGCACTCCATGAGGAGACTGGAGAAGAACCATGAGGGAGTCTACCAAGGACAGTGCGAGTTGGGTCCTGAATTGACCATTTGTGGACCGAGACCGTTGTTTCCATAAGTGATGTGCAGCTCTGGCTCCTGCACGGTGACCTTCGAATTCTTCCGGTGTGAGGGTCCCGTGATGGGCCACGAACTAACTCTAGAGCTTACGTTTCAGTGTGAAAAGATGAATGGATATCTCAGAATTCAGTAGAGGTTCAGTGACTATCTTAACCTACAAACAATCTCAGAGAAAAAGACTTTTTGGGGTTTAAGGAAGCTTGCAAGGCAGATTGAACCCCCACCCTTGTCCACAGCCCCTTACCCTCACCTCTTCCCTGAGTTTTGTAATTTGCGACTAACTCCGAATGCCAATCACCGATTAAATACTTTTTAGTTTCAGGTCAATCCGTACTACCAATTATACAGCACGGATTTTTCGGGTGCCGGAGGTTTGCCTGGTCTCAGCGTTCCGTCGGCCTTCTCCATCAACAAATTGATGGACAGCACAAATGGATTCGATTATAACTATTACCAAACCTCCACAAACGATTACGGTGGCTACTCACATACGCTTTACAGGTGACTTTATGCTACAGTACTCGATAAATGTACTTGTTGAAGCCTCTGAAAGGTACAACTTCATCTAATGGCCTCCGACGGTCCACCTTAAATTATCGTGCATTACTTCTTATTCTTATATTCTTTCTTTCTAATCATTTCAGTTTCTTACTGTAGCCTTAATCAGGCAAATAACTAAATAGTAATTACCGTATTTCTATTCTCGATATCATTTCAGTTCAACAAATCCGAGCACAGCATCGAATCTTTAAATCATCAGCAGTTCGTTGCAATGTCATTCATATCCTACAGTAACCACCATCATCACCACTTCCAGCAGTGTGCAATTGATTACCGTATCTGTATATAGATTTTATGTGTTTTCTTTGTATTCTTTCGATCATTCATTGATCGTTTTTCACTGTTTTTCTATTCCTTTCTTCATCTCATAACGGTTTCATCAGATGCCTTATATGTGTGTTGTGTCGAGACCACCAACGTTTTATCGATTCGCGTACCTCTCTCTTCCTTCATTTTTTCATTTTTCCCCATGAGAAATTCATTCATCTTTCATACGATGTTCATTGGTCCTCATTGTAATTTGTTCCAGACCGAAAAAAATTCATCAAATCGTCGATCAATACTGATCGATGATTTTTTGAAAATTCATCAAAACGTTGATAAGCGTAATAGGGTGCTCTATCGAATGCATACTGACCGAATCCCACCTACCCATCCATACACATAATTGCGATTTCACGCATTTTAACGATTTATCAATTTATCGCCAAATATCGCACTTGTTTTTTGATCCTCCGCTGTCAACTGTGGATATCGATCGATTATCGATCTGTCTGCCGTGCACTGCAATAGTCATATTCCTTTTGTTCTCTATCTTTATGTTTTCTTTCTTTGTTCTCTGCATTTCAATAGGGTACTAGATCCATAGGTTGTGGTCCATCAGGGAACTTAAATCCAGGGGTGGTGGGACAGGATGGGCTAACGCAGTCGACGCCATTGGTATTGTAATGTCGCTGAATGCCCGTCCTCATGAGCTTCTGGCGAGCTGTTTTTTGAAACTTTTACCTTTTTTAGCAGCTGGCGGGGCTTTTTTCCTCTTATCAGGGTTGAAAGTACCTTGGGAAGAGAAAAATTCGCCTTACTAATAACTGGGAGAACGTCGTAGCTTTGAAGAACGGCCCCACGAGAGCTGTGTGAAGTCTCTGCGCACGATGACCTAGCATTCCAGTTGACCGTAGCCTCCTGTCCCATACCTCGTAAACACATCACTCGTCCATAACAATTATTTTTGGGTTACTGTGGTTTTGTTTTTGTGCAATTAAGACCGCCAACCAATTCATTGTTTTTATTCTGTCTCTTTGAATTAGTATCCAGTTGTTTCACCACAACACCGAATCTTCTTACTCGTCGATGGATCGATTTATCGATTTTCCACAAAGAATGTGCATATTTATATTTTAGAGTGATTATGTTGTTTGTTGGAAAACAAAATGATAATAAAAATTTACATAAATTCGTAGGAAAACAGCGAAAAAATTGGAATTGATCGATGTTGATCGTTTGAACAGCTGAGTATGGTGGGTGTTTAAGAGCACAGCCAATCGATTGAGCTTCTTCACTATCCTGTGGATTCATTGGAAAATAGTTGACCAAGGGTTTTAGTCAAGGGCTACTGGGTAAATAGCAACATCCTGGAAATACAGTAGGAACAAATTGCTTGCCCTAAGCTGAAAAAAAGGCTTCTTTCAACGAATTTTTTGCTCCTCCTATTCATTGCAATTTTGTCATTTGTGACAGATGACCAAACCGATTTCTTTCAAATTCAGAAAAATCGCAGTGGATTGCTGTTGATTACCGGACAGTTCATTGACCTTATTCGCTTACTCCGACATTGCCGAAACGCTCAATGGAATCGAGAGCGTAGAGAGCCTATTGAAGGGTCACCTTACCCGGGCAATGTTTCCTGCGTTGGCCTTCTTTTGTTACTGGGAGACCGGAAACCCACTTGATACTGGAGAGCTCTTCTTTCACCTACCACCACCTATTCTCTAGGTACAATCACAATAGTCAATATGGATAACACTACTGCTGAAGGGATAGTCTCCCACTTGTAGTGAGTACCATATGATGAGGCCGCAAATGGACTGTTTGAAAAATAAGAAAGATCTCCGGAGGATTAAGGTATTCACCGAGGGATTTACATAACTATGAATGGTCCACACTGACGTTAAATTAATGTCAAATCTCCACCCGAAATCGAAGCAGGACTAGATAGTTCATGGTATTACTTTGAAGCATTAAGAGAACTGCTCTCAGAGATCGCGATTTCCTTCAGAAAACAGATTTAATGACTCTCATAGGCTTAAGGCAGCTCGTTGCCATATGAAAAATCTCCCGCTCGCAGTTTATTCTCCCGTTCTTCCTGGTGGTGTTGAATCAGCCGCCGATTGCTTTCTGAAGAGCTTCAAACAGCGCCAGTAGTCAGTCAGTCATTCTTCTTCTATGATAATTTAGTGGGCTATGGCTTTGGGCCTGCACCGAAAATATTCGCGAGAGGTGCTGATTTAGAAAGGGTACCAATTCAGAAAGGACCAAAAAATCTAAATTCTCAGGGGGTAGGTTACATCAGAACACTGCAGGACAGAAGAAAATCTTCTCAAGACCAGAAATCACTAAAGTAGAAGTGGTGGTCTATCCTTGTTCCTAGAAGATGGCTACTTTCCTTTGATGGTCAACCACCATGTGCAGGCATTCGAACATAAGCACCTCTCGAAAGTATCTTCTCATTCTTTGCCCTGCAGTGAGGAGGAGACTGAATTCCTGCCAAAAAATCTATCCTTATCCAAGTGCTACATCAGAAATCGTACAGCCATCGTCGTTATTTCACTGAAATCCACGATCTCTGATGTATCGCACTCTCTAGCCTGTCCCACTCTCGTGTCGCTGGCATAAGAGTCCTTTGAGAGGACACTTGCGGCCGGTCGCACGAATGAGACACGATAGTGGTGGCGAAGGAAGGAGGCTACGCCGGCAGTGGTGGCGGTGGTGGTGGCCGGACGCAGAAATCATGATATGAATCCACTAAGAGGGACCATGATTATTGGCAAATTCGGACGGGATAAGGGCCTCAGTGCCGAGGATATTGCGAATTGGACGCCGCAAGGAATTCAGCTTAACGAAGGGCAAGTGGAATCTCATTAATTCCAACTTCGACCTTGTGTTACATTTACAATCAGAGTAGGAGGGGGAGGGCTGGAAGAGCTTCTTATGCAGAATCTTCACTGATTTTTGCGTATTCTCAAGAGTTTCTAAGGGCTCAGGAGAAAGGGCTCATACGACTCGGAGTTACACCTGCACTTTTCTGTCCACTGCTCGCTTTCACCATAAAGGCTGAAGGCTGCCATCCATCTAGCCTGACCAAATAGCATTACAAGAATGCTACTATTTAATCACATTTTGTTATTGTACGCCTACATTTTCAGGTCAGTGCCATGGCGTTCTGTTTGTTCAACAAGTCTGCCCGCTTGCTCGTTTTTGAATTTGCCTTGACATAGTTGCTTTGTTCTCTGAACGAATTCCCATCACCGTCAATTCAGGTGTGATTCCTACCAAACTGTCCTTCCTGACAGGAGAGTTATTTTTCTTCCTTTTTTGATTTCCTTTTGTTTTTTTCTGACTTAAAATCCCAACTCTGCCTGGTTTACCCGAGCCGGAGCAGTTGCGATAACCTTTCAGGTTACCAGCAGGAACCTGAGCAGAAGCCGAATTTGCTCATTGTCTATGTTTTGATCGGTGTATTCGTGTACGAGCACTTCAGCGGGACCTGAATCTACCATTTGGTCGATTTAAGCTCAAGAGTGGGTGAAGTCCGATTGATTCACTCAATGGGAATATGCCATGCACTCTTCTCCAATATTGAATCGCACGTAGCCTCCTTTGTCAGCATACATAGTAGGAGCAGCGTAAATCCAACAGAATTATTTCAAGGAGGCATTGCATTTCCATCGACCTTGACGGATCTAGAAGTATAGCCGGGAAGTAAGCCTCAACCGGCGAGTCGGAACCGGATCACTGACAATGTGGTTATTGAACACTGAGGGTTTTCCAATAAACTTGTCCCTAATGTTTGAAAAATGCATTGGATCCCACTGAAGTGTTTTATCAGCCAACAGTGCTTCTCAGTTGAAAAGTACATCATCTTGCCTCAGAGTTCATGCTTTTATTTTGTCTGGCACACCCTCGGGGGCATTCAAATGAACAAATAAACTTTTATCAGAAGAGCTTCTGCCATTAGGATAAGGAATCGATATTGAACTCTTCTGGCTTAAGCTCTGCCAGTCTTCCATCTACAGGCCNGAACACTGAGGGTTTTCCAATAAACTTGTCCCTAATGTTTGAAAAATGCATTGGATCCCACTGAAGTGTTTTATCAGCCAACAGTGCTTCTCAATTGGAAAGGACATCAACTTGCCCCAGAGTTCATGCTTTTCTTTGTGGCACAACCTCGGGGGCATTCAAATGAACAAATAAACTTTTATCAGAAGAGCTTCTGCCATTAGGATAAGGAATCGATATTGAACTCTTCTGGCTTAAGCTCTGCCAGTCTTCCATCTACAGGCCAAAACTTTTCTGGACCAGCCATGTACGAAAACAGAAGCAAAATGCATGACTTTTGTTGGAAGATATACCCAGGCAGCTTTGTTGCGATGGAGTCAGAATGCGCCATGCCTCGACATTGGCTACCGATTGCAATAAAGTGACTGCACAATTGACTGCAGGACTTAAAATCTGGTAAGGACACACTTCCTACTTGGACATATCAATTAGTACTGAAGTAACAATTCTATCTGCTCTGAAAAACCCATTTAGAACCATAGAGGACTTGTGATATTGATTGATCGAGTTGGAGTTTTTTATTCAATGGTTTATATAAATAAAACTTTGTAGTGAGTGATATTTTCCTTTGATACTTTAGATACAAGGAATACTTTTCCTTTTTACTCATATATTCAAGTTGACTCTTCCCCTTCTGATGATAGCTAAGATTCTTTGAGCTTCTTAAATTGAATTTGATATTTCGGAACACTTTCCCGAAACGCATTGCCTGAAAATCAATATGTTCGATTGATTGCGCTTTGTATGAACACCGACCGAGTCATTGGTAGCTGTGTTGAGTAAACAATTAATTTATTTTTTCAAGAAACAGCTGAATAGCCGGTGCACTCTGTTTGACAATCGATGAATCCCTTCCGCATTCATTGTTTGTTCGTAAACAGAAAACAAAAAAAGAATTCTCAAATTTATTCATCATAAAGGCACTCTTTCATGATACAAGGCAATATTAATACTATATTTTAAAAAATACAGTATGAACAAATGGTATGATAGTATCTATATATGGTTAAATTAGAAAGGATGATGAGCATTACGGTAACCGACTGAGCCTAGCAATTACGGAAGGCCACTCAGTAGACATCACAGTAAAGAGTGACCACAGGATTTGTGTTAAGAAAAACTCCTAGTCAGTATATAGTTAGTGACTTCCAGTAGCGACTTTCCGACTTTCCCACACTAATCGATATTCCCACAGTTTTGTTGATCATTTGATTGTTGACTCGTGTTCAGCACTTCGACCAGGTAAATATTAGGAGGCGGCAAATTCAAATATTTGTAAAATAGTGTAGAAGAAGAGACAAGGTATACAGATACGCTTAGAAAACACTCACACGCACACGTGGTCAGCGGATATCAATAACCAGGAAGGGCGTTCTTGTAAATCGAGCTGTTTCTGGCGAGGAAATTCCGGGATTCAAGGGGTCGTCTAAAGTTTCCTCCGTTCCAGCCAGCCTTCTTGCTGACTGAATGCTATGCCGTCTAAGGCCAAATATAGACGAGGGAAGTTCTGGCAATGGTCACCTATGGAATGGATGCCTTCGGAATGGAGGCCGTTTTCCCCCTTTGTTAGCACTGACAACGCGCCATCAATCGAGCTGGATAGGAATAGATGGGGTACTTGGTATGGAATAGGCGGCGCTGAGACTGGGCGATAATTCAGAAGTTGCCAATGCTTGACAGATCCAGAAAAGTCCATTTGCTCTATGAAGGATATGTGGATTGCAGGCTCGACCATGCTCTGTCCATCTCTTGCCTAGGATATTCCATTCTCCTTAATTCTTGGGCGAAATCGATCCGGGTCCTCCTTATTTCATGCTGCAATCCTAAAGGAACGAGCGCCAGCAAGGAAGCAAACAGCCCAATAACTTTTGATGGGCTGCTTAGTCATCATGTCATATCTGTCGAACGCTCCTCTTTCAGATAGTGTACCCGAACTACACGAACTCACGAAGGAGAACATACCCAGCTGGATCGACCAGAGTGGGAACCACCAATGATATGGAAGTAGGTGAATGTTGGGTTTGAACGTCGAAGTTGTTCGGGTCCCGACATTGGCAGTACCAGGAAAAGCTGAGAAACTAACGCTTCCCGTCAACGGCTATCTCAAATTATGCCTAAAATGGAGGTGTTCCTATGAGTCCACTACTATGTCAGCGCTCACCCATAGGGGCCGAATGCTTCCCATCATCCAATTGATCAATCGATATCCCCTACCGTAACCGACTGCTCGAGCTCGATGCTCAACGGATGAATCATACAGTGTGTCCCGTTGCTGACGTGCAGCCTCTCGCCGGGCATTCATTGTCTGGTCCCCTCCGTTGGTCCCATGTTATTTCACCAAGGACTGGATTATTCTCGACGCCAACGTTGTGCAAACACGGCCGACGCACATATCCACCAACGTCGCGTCGTTCCGCCACCCACCTCCTCCTTCTCAACCACCACCACCTCGAAAATATACGAATCGTCATCATATCGAGGGACTATCGGGATGGGTTGATGGGGTGGAAATGGCTTTGAACCTAGTCATTCTACATGTACAACGAAGTGGTAGCCACGTGGGGATCGATGGTCATAGGGGGCAACCAGCTGAGCTCTGTTTAGTTACGTCGTCCAGCCAGGAAAAGCTAATATTGGTTTTCTCGGTTTGGTTAACACATGCGCCATGCAAACAAATGCTTAAGATTAACTAAGATATCCATGACATTGAATTGAATCCTACCTAATTGACTTGAGAAACCCTTTGACTGGCCGATATGGGTACGAAACCAACAGGAAACCACCGACGGGAAGGCCAAGCCTATCGATCCTCCTCCTTGACTAGGCGTTCAACCTGGGTGAGCTTATCAGTTTACCATGCAGGCCTTCAAGCCAAACAACAGACTTCAGTATTCAAATGGGTATCTTATCATGAAAGACGGTGGGAGGGAGTTTCGCCCGACCTATCCGGCTATCCGGACTGGTCAGCGACATTCTCAAGCTATCGAGAGCTCATGAGGCTCTCAAGGATGGATCGCATGTAAAGGAGTCTGGACGATTCCGGTCAGAAAACATACCATAAACACATTTCCGCCCTATCGAAGATTCTCCCGGGCCTAGGCAACGCATCTTAGCCCTGGCGGACGTCATTTTGCTATTCTCGGAGCTCAACAACATTCCTTACTGTACCTTACTTTACCAGATTTCGCAGCTGGAAGCTTCTAACTACACTGACAGCCTACTGTGTCCAAATTCGGTCATAAATGAAAACAAACTAGAATAATTTGAGCGCACTATGTGCATAACAATGGCAAGACATATACTTACACTGGAATCCTTCGAGAAGACAAAAACTGGTAACACAAACCGAGTAAATCTGTGCATATGATTGAGTATCAGTGACGACTGAACGTTATGGCTTCATGATGGCCGTCCACTTGTTGTCAATCAATATCCGTTGGAATCGAAAACTTTTCGATTTTTCATTGTAATCCTTGTAGTTTCCGACGGAGCACAATGATTAACCGTTTTTGTCTAAAAAGTAATGAATATTACTTCCCTCGTTTGAGCTGTTACTAATATCTAAACTAACACTGAACTACTTCAATTTAGTGAATCAATTTTTTATAGTCTCAAACCTCCTTACTATTGGTGCTAAAATTCCAACCAATTACTTTACGTGATTGAAGTACAAAAAAAATAAAATAAGAATAAAATAAAAGAAAAGTAAAATCAAACAAATAATAAATAAATACATCATGCACTTCTTTCTTCAAGTGATACGCCAACGGAAAAATAAGTTAGAGATATTCAAATAAGTCAGAATCGGGTTTTTGAAAGAAAGAAGCAAGGTGGCTGGATACTGTATTATACGATTGAATATCTGGGAATTATTTCAAGGAATTCTATCTTATCAGGTCAGTGGGAAAGAATGGTATTGTAGAGACCACAACAAATATAGAGAGTTTCTCGAATATTCTGCTAGAACTACAAAAAAGAGCATATGGCGATAAAATATGACGACGATACTATACGATCTAAAAAAAGGAACTATCGTCAACATAACATCTGTATGGAAGAAGATACTGTAAGATTAGAATTCGTCTCAGACTAGAGCTTCATTTCCTCTTAGATGACTTACTCAGTTTTGCTCTTTTTCTCCGTCAATTTTCAAAAAGAGTAAATACTCGGGGTAACTAGAATGACTGTGATGAGCACAATTCAGAGTAAAATAAATTAAATAACCAGATGAATGGTGCTGAAAGTTGTTACAAAAGATGATTAATTAATAACAAAAACGTCATAGATATCGTAATTCTAGTAAATTTATTGATTTGATCATTTGTTCATTTATCTATACAAATATGTATAACCCAAAGGAAAAACTTCAAGGCAGTGGTACTACATATTCTTACTATTGAGAAAAGCAAAAGTTGAAAAAAGTGAAAAGAAGCACGAGGTTGAAAAACGATTTGTGGGGATACCAAGGTTTTATAGTGATTCTTTTAAAGGTTTGATTAACATATTAGTTCCACAGGACTGTAGTGTGTGTCAGATACTGCTTGGTACGTAGGGGTAGAGGATTTCCTCTAATCAAAAGAAAACCATAAATTTGTCAGTACCAATGAATTTTAACCGATATCAAAAAAGCAATGAAGTCATGAACATAGTATGACTCCTATCCGGAATTCTCGGGTGCAGTGAGGATTAATGGCGGAGCATACTCCCAGAAAAGCTCTCCGAAAGCACCCTGCTGACTTGCTGAGTTATCAAAAAGAACTTCAGGTAAGGGCTTCTAAGAGCCTCTTCGACTGTTTGCTATTTTTTCCCACATACCTCCTTGTTAACAATAAAAGGACGGAAGCCATTAATGCCTGTCGGCGTCGCCGTCTCATCCAGTCATCTTCGCACTTGGCTCAAGTTTTTCGCATAAGACGGACGACGACACGACGACCTACGCGTTAGGCGCTTTTGTTAAAAAAGTTTTCAAGTGGGTATTGGGTAATGCCCTCGACAAACACCTTAGCCATGGCGGTCGGATAAAAGGCGACCACAACGACCTACTATAATCCCGGAACTAATGGATTAATGAGAAACGGATGGCTACCAGCAGGTCGACAACCACCTGAATCCATCAAAATAATGAGACAAAGTGGGGGCACCGTATACTAGACATGATTGATCGGTTTTGGAAAAAGACAACCCAACTGATCAGAATGTTACTAATCGATACAGGATATCGCACTCTTCAAGATTTTCCTTCAAGAAACCTGGCTTTGAGGCTTTGTGTGCTCCGTTTTCACTCCACGAAATCAACTTGTGAAAGGTTGGAGCTCGTATTTCAGAGACTCGAAAAGTTGTGGGAATAGCCCATGTTTGATGATGTCCGCTTGGTTACCCACAATTCAAACGACGGGAAAACATCCATACTATTCCTTGAACGTCCTGGCTTGTGCCTCTAGCGTTTTCAGATATATAAAGTGAGCCCAACCCTATCACTCTCCAATAGGAACTCTCTTAAAGAATCGGTGCTAGCCCAACTAGAAGGCTCAGAGTGTATTGACCGACGGCCTGCAGAACACCATTACCCTTATGAGCTTCTTCAGCACTTAGACCTGAAGCGACTATTAGTTGGCAGTCCAGGGCGCAACCGCTTCATCCAGGTGTTCGGTTACGCTCATGCCGGCCGGCATCGGATTCATGCGCTCGTAACTCTATCTATCATCCATAACGGCATGCGGCAATGGCTTTGCTGTCGACGGTGGGTCTGGTCACAGGAAATCCGATCCGACAAACAACTCCTTATCCAGGAAGGCGCACCGCGTCGGTGCATGGTTCATGTCTTAGCAATCGTAGGCACCGTAGCCGTCCTCTCTCATCGACATTACCGTATGGCATCAATCAATCGTTGTCGTGATGTTTGATGAAGCCCAAGCCATGAAAGACTACCGATGCCTGACGAGCAAGGTATTAGGTTTCCGAGTAGAGCGATGGAACTTTTGAAAAAACTAGACACTGACTGAGTTGGGCCATGGTTAGGGAGAGGTCGGCGATCAAAAGTTAGAGTTTCTAACCTCTGGTCTCTACATAATTGTGAATGCAGGAATTTAGGCTCAGGCTCAAAGACCGATCATGAACCCCTGCTTAAGGTACATTACGCCATCCTCCACTACCCGAACCGCAAGAACTTCAAAGCCGTCGAGCATGGGGACAAAGATTCGATTGAATCCTTGACATTTCTTTTTGATCAGTCGCGCCGCGTGAGCCGCGAACCCCACATCACTTTGCAGCCAATGAATTGATTGAATCTTCGATCGCCCATAACCCAGCTCAGGAGAGCGTATGTATCACAAACCCACAAGTTCAACTCCTTTATATAGAATCAATACG